CTGCCTAGCCTACAAAGCCACCTGCATTGCGAGTGACCCCACCCATCCCTCACACAGCCTCTTCAGTCTCCTGCTATCTGGGAGAAGATACCATAGCCTACCGGCTTATATCACCAGACTTGGTCACAGCTTTATACATCAGGCTGTCAGGATGCTGAACTCTCTCCCCTCTGCCTCCAAAAAGACGGACTGTAACTTACCCACACAGCACCAGCCCAAGAACTTTCCTTGTACAAGCATATTCGCACACATGCCACACTCAGCAAGAGCCAACCCTTGTGCTTTTGTTTTTAATACTTGTACATACCAACACCATGGTCTGAGAATAACTGTATTTTGATCTTCTATCTGTACATATGGCAGAGTTGAAAACAAAATTGAATTTGATCATAACCTCATCTTGAACAAGCATGTTAACACAGTTGTCCAGTCTTGTTTTTTGCAGCTCTGTTTGAGGATGATTTATTACTCTTTTTACACAGAGTGCTGGTTCAATAGAAGTTGATCTGCAGTAATGACACTATTTATCTGCTGAAATGAAGTGCAGTGAGAGCAGCAACACCCTGATATTTTGCTATTAAACCTGGCCTGTCAACACAGTTTCTCAAATGGTATGTGCCCCACTCACATCATTGTTCATTTCTAACAGTTCAGACCATGTGTCACATCAAAATTTAAAAAGTCGCTATTCTCTCTGGTTCTATTTTGAAAGCTGCAGGTGGTCGGTGCATTTAAATAGCATCCTGTGACATAAATATTCGATTCATTTTTTAGTTAACCTGTCAGTGTATTTGAAGCTTTTAATTTAAATGCTTAAAAGATCTACTGTATGCCAAATCTTACATGCTTATGTTTGCACGCATACACACACTGCGTACACATGTTTTGTAGTATTTGTACAAGTATTTGTCACCCTGCTCATGCCATTGTATGTGTGACATGTATATTTCACGTGCTCATGTGGGAGGGCAGTATTCTGCTTGTGTGACATTATTATCCTATTATATAATTCGTCTCTATTTATAGCGTGTGTGTGCTGTTGTTGGATAATATCACAAGCGTACACGTGAGCTGTGGAGCAAACACCATCAGTCACTACAAGGGCAAAGGTGGTGCTGGTAGAAATCCTTTTAGATTGAGGCAAACAAATATCAAAAAAAGTATCAGAAAATAAAAATCTAACTGTTGGTATTTCTGTATTTATAATTTAGGGTATTAGAATATATTATACTCCATTCTTAACCTTCTATCAGCTATGAAAAAAGGATTGCTAGTACACTGATAAATGATACATATGAGCTATTAAAACCCCTGTCAGAATCAATTGCGAGTGAAAAAAGCAGTGGCCTCCGTTGCTGCTGTCTAACCGCTGTGCTGTCATCTGTGGCTCTCTGCCTGAGGCACAACAGATCAACGCTCTGACACTGGTCGTGTTTGGATGACCCCTGTGGAATTGTGATGTCTCAAGAGGTCAAGCTGAAACAGAAGGCAGCGCACAAGCTCTTGTCACAAATCCAACCCAAAAAGAATAATTTCTGTCTGATCAACTTTGTGTTATTATGTCATTTGGGGCATTTTGATTTAGATCTTCTCTAATTTTGGGCTTTGAAATCTGTCACCACCAATAATTATCTGTTCCCTAATCAATCAATGTAAATTATGTCCTTTAAAACCAGTTCTGATCCTTGTTTTAAACTGTTTCTGTCATATTGATGTCAGAACTTTGCACCAGCAAAGCACCATTTGTATGCGTGAGTCATCTTAAACTTGCATGTGTTGTTTTGTATTGTGTGAATGGACGCATGCATTGCCCACCTGCTCTGTGTTGCACATGCAGCACGAACAGATTCTAATCTGAAAATCTCCAGCTGTTTAATGGATGACACATTAGCTACTTTGACTTTGATTTGAATCCCTCCACCAGGAAAAAATATATAGTACATACATTTCTCAGTGTAAGCTTTTATGCATGTGGCTTTGGTGGAAATTAATCTACAAATAGGTCAGAGAGTAGAAACACAACAGCAGCTGTAATACTTTAAGATGAATCGTTTGTAGAACAAGTGGTCACATGCAGTATATAGGCATTCTACAGTAGGCCTTTGTAATTCCTACAAATTAGTGATGGATTATTGGTTAGGGAGTTTTGCAACAAAGCAGGCTTTTCATTTATTTTGTTGCTTACTCTCTGCTTGAATGTTCATCAGTGTGCTGCTGTTGTGTTTGGCTGTAAGGCAAAAACCTGCATACTTTCATCTCATATGATTCAACACATGCTGTTTCCTCTGAGGCCCTCCACCAGCATACGCTGACCAAACAACATACATGGTCTAATTAGTGTACAGTCCCTGGGCTCACCCAAGATACATTTGGCTTGACATGGAACAAACATGCTGTGGCAACAAATGCACTCATTTTTTTATGGATGCACTTATGGATCAATTATGGATCAGAAGTGTGTAAATATGACGATTACAGGATGCAGCTGTCATATAATGGTGTTGCTAGCAGAGGCCTGATTTATCAGTGTTTGTAAAAAAACAACAACATCATTTTAGTAATTGTATTCTCCTGCTTGCACACACAGGCTTCACACATTATTAGGTGCACAAGTCCCTGGAAAACACTATTTGGTACTGAGCGGATTATCTCGGAACTGATCTAAACCGAGCACTCACAAACCAACACACACACATATGTACAAAATGCCCACGTTGGCTAGCCGCCCCACCGTCCCCGCATCATGTGCGAAGCAGATTTGTCCTCTCCTGGCAGAACTGAGATCAGTGTTGTTGTGGCTGCACACATCTTCCTTTGATGTTATGTTTTCTGTTTTCTGTTTGTCCTGCTCCGTATATTGATTAAAGTTGGATTTCCTTTTTTAGAGGGACTCCTAACAGTCGAGAGAAGCAGGACAAAATATGAACATCATCACTTTGTGAACCCACTTGACTTGCAGTTTTGTAGTCAGTAGTGTATGTATTATATTTGGTGCTCACAATGTAAAAAAATACAATTAGAGCATTACTATGTTAATAACAACTGCAGCTGGCATTTCAACTTTTATTTTGTTGACAAAGTTAGAGGAATACATCGGCTGTTCAAAACTTTTGCACATTGCAATATGTGTAAACATTGTGAAGGATTTTATGTTAATTACAGGGAAACAAAAAGGAAAATCCTTGCAGGGGATTTTTTAAATGCCTTGGGCTAATATCAGAAGCTCTTATCTTCAGTTCAGTATTTTTAATATCGGCTGCTGCTGTCTTTTTTGGTTGATTCTTGAATCTTAGGCTACAGTATTTTTTTACACTAAGCCAGCTAAAATTGTCTTATATTTTTTCACAATTCTGCGAAATTGAGATATTGAGAATGAGTTTATTAATACCAGGTGTAAATGTATAGCCCAGTGGATCTGATGTCATAATCCAGAGTGTGTCCAGATACAGATCACATGATAATAACAGTCTAAATCGTGCCATGGGAAATGGGAAATAAACCACTGTTTTCTTTGAAATTAGATCGCTTAATGAGACTATTTTAACTCTGCAGCAGCAGCATTTTTCCTTTAACTTTACTCCTAACTTGAGAAATGTGTTTTAAATTGCTCCCCAGTCCTCTTCACTGAGTTTGCAATAATCTGTCAGGATGGATTACTACCTCTTACATTTGAACTCAGTGGGCCATGTTTGTCAATTTAAGCCTCCTAGTTTGATGTCATGGCCCACCAAAACATCCAAATGTCAACATCTGCTCTCGGAGGTTTGGAAATGTTGGTTGCACATTGTACTCGGGGAGAGGCCAGAGGACTTTCAACAAAGGGGCCACCATATTACAATATTTAAACTGTGATTGTACTATGTCAAGATATTACCGGCAAAAACTTTTGGGCTATTTTGCTACCATAATGTTTTCTTTTAGAATATTGGAAAGAAATACACATTTAGGTGTTTATTTTACTACACTCTGTCAAGTTGAGTCGCAGTTTTCTTCCTAAATTCACCAACAGTTAGAATCAGATTATGCCTCATTTTCATATTCAAACACATTTTATGGTGATATCTGTTATTTAAAATGTTATGCTATTCACCTGTAGTGTCTCTCTTTAAAACACAGTAAAATAAATCAAGAGTTGTATTCTAACAGTCAAAGAAAGTTTCATTTTACGAGTCCAACTCAAATATACCCAAGATTTCAATTCAGTCAAATAAATTGTTTATTGTATCTTCGTGGCCTGAAACGGTAATATGAGCTTTATCTGAGTTGTTTCTGATAAACCGGATTATGTGTTGTGGGAATTGAATAGGACTATGGTATATGGATTATAGGGTCAGACATGCACTACTATTGATTACACTTGGAGCGACCGTGGCTCACTGGTTTAAGAGGTCAACCACAGGGTCAACGGTTCGATCCTCGACTGGGACGTGCCATGTGTCGAAGTGTCCCTGTCCCTCATTGGCAGTCCACTGCTCCCTATATACAGGGATGGGTCAAATGCAGAGGTCAAATTTCGTGTATGTGTATATGTATATGACAATAAAAAGGGTTTCTGTTTCTGTTAATATCGCATGGATTAAACACCACCTCCTAACTCTTTAACTTTTTTGCAATCATTGTGCATTTTATGAGTATAAACTATAATTGTCATCGTTATAATATATTTTAATCTTAAATTGCTGAAGTGCTCATTGTTTTCTTTAAGTAAAGTCAAAATTTGTTTTACATTTTGTGTGTTCTTGAATATATTTAATGATACATTTTATCTTCACTTAGAGGAAACAATGACCACTTAAAGTAATAAAAACGTATTATTATAAATAATAATAATAAGTGTTGATAAAAAGTGTTACCAATAAATGTTCACTCTGACGTAGGAGCAAACAATAAGCACTCCTTTTCCACTTCTTATGGTTCATAAGCACAGAATACTTAACGCCCAGAGCAGAGCTGTTTGCTTCTGTTCGTTATAACTAATGGTCTTCTCCCTTCTCTCTCAGGTGGCATCCCATTTGTCTTGACCGGAGAACTGTTTGAACAGTCCTACCGACCTGCCGCCTTCATGATCGCTGGCATAGTAAACTGGCTGTCCAACTTTGCTGTCGGCCTCCTGTTCCCATTCATTCAAGTGAGTTACCTCATCTAATTGTGTGCACTTGTACACATATTAGTTTTGGGGTTGGGGTCAGGTTTTGGAGCCCAATGTCAATAGAGATGAGTGACACTTTTCAAAAATAAAGCATTGTCCACACAGTTCAACCAAACTAACACCAACTATGTTTGTCACTTTAGCCTTTGGCAAACATTTAAAGTTGTCAGTCCCTTATTAATCCCTGCAGTGGCGGCCTGTCACACCATGTTGTTGATTGTTTGTTCTGCCTGCTCTCCACCAGCATCTCAATCTCCTTGCTGGACTTTTATTAGTCAACACACTTGCTATCTGATGTTTCTGTAGTCCTATCACATACCATTATGTATTTTATATCCTAAAAATATGAAACTGTTGAGCTCTAATGGTTGTCTTTGAAAATGTCAGTGACATTTAGTTCAGGTTTTTCACTAATGCTATTATCTTAATGATCAGAGTGTTTCTGACGGAACATGTGCAGTACTTTTTGTTCCTTTTTAGTAAATTGAATACCAAATACTGGATTATACAAACAAGCCGTTACAGATGTTCACTGATGTTCACCGATTCATACTTGTTAACCTAAATGTAATGGAATTGCGCTTTGGTCCTCTTAGCTTTGGTGAAGAGTGCTTTTAAATTCCGACCTGACCCAACAATACAAGCTATGGAGATACTGCTTCCATTAGAGCCAGTGTGATCAGATCACAGATCTGCAGAGCAGTGAGAGAAACAGCAGTGTGTTCCGTTGGGCATTTGCGTTTATTACTCAACTGTGATTACAAGGCACAGTTTTTATTGCCCTTGTAAGTGTGGCAATTTGTGAGATTTTTACCACATAACTGCAAGATATTGACGGTACAACATACTGTAAAGGGGCACTAAAGTCTCTTTAGAGCTTGGCCCATATTAGGGAATTAAACTCAGGATGTCTTGGCCTCTTCAACTTCTATTTTGATGCAGTATCAAACATGTAACTACATCATGTTTAGTCAGGTTTTTTCTTTTTTTTTTTTACCTCTTATGCAGATTGATTTCAGTACTGATTTCAGTATTGACCTTGGTATTGGGTTGTGAGCTCTGTCAGAGTGCCCAGCAGTACTGAAAAGATCCAGTGTGGACACTGACTGGCTGCTGACATGCTGCTTTTGCTGCTCAGCCTTGTAAGCAAGGTGTTACTGGTGAAACTTGAGATGTGACAGGAAAGCTGAATATAAAATATTAGACACAGAAGCACTTTCAAAGCCTTGGAGAAACTGTAGTTGTTGGTTGTCAAAACTGAAGTGGGTTTGATTTTTGGCCCTCTATTGTGGAATGCTCCCTTTCTATTATTAAATTGCCAAAATGGGCATCTTTGAAGTGCTTCATATGGGACCCGGGATAGAACTCCTTTGTAAGGAGGGCAAATGTGTTTTTAGAGTATTATAAGCACCTACAACAGTTTCAGACGGAAGAGTGTATTAGTGTCTGACACTGGAATGTTTTTCCTGGAAACTGCAGGGTCCTCTTTCAACCTCTAAAACCTGACTGTTGCTCCCGGCGGCTCCACATCACTGCCTCCTCTCATTTTACCTCCTCTGTCTCTCCCCTGCCTCTCCCTCTTCCTTTCTTTTGCCTCAGAGTACTCTCAGACTCTCTCTTTCACATTTTCATTTTCATACCTTTAACTTAAGTGTTTTTCCCGTTACAATCTCTTTACTGAAGCACCATCCTAAGGAAACATAGTGTTTGTACAATTTAGAATTGGGTTTGTTGGTGTTAGAGGATATTGGCCCTATAGGTATAAATAGCTAGTAAAAGTATAAAGGTAATATGCACTAGTGCGGTGTGAATAAAGTGTTGTGTGATGAGTTCAAGAGCTCACGAGCTCAGCAGTCATATGGACTGTGGGATGAAGTTATCCCTGAGCCTGTTGGTCCGTGACTGGAATGCTGCGTTAGCGTCTGCCAAACGACAGCAGGCAGAACCGGTTGTGGCTGGGGTGATTTGGATATTTGATGATCTTATTTGCCTTCTTCCTGGTCTTCTGGGTGTCGAGGTTTTCATTTTTCATTCAGACTGTTCACTCATAGGCTGTGTCTGAAATCACTACCAGTTTACTTCATCGTGCAATATAGTTACTGTCTGCTATTTTATGTTGGTGTTCGAAATCTGTGTGGGATTTATTCTCCATATAGTGCGCTCAAAAAATCCTGAAGCAAAGTAGTGCCTGTGGTATTCGAATGCATTGTTTTTTTGGGTTTTACATATGTTTTATATATTAACAAAACAATTTGGCGCTGTCCCGGGTGCTGAAATGCACGAGAGGATATTGATAGGCAGACGGTCAAAAAGCCATGTCTTTTATTTTATATGTTGGCATAAGCTTCAGTCTATTTATTTAATCATTTGTTTATCGGCCTATATATGAGTAATATATGAGTCAATTAGTTTTTGCGGGCCATTTTTGTGTCAATACAAAGTTGGCTTACAGTGAGCTGGCCTGTACCTTTTCGTGAAACAATTTCCATAACATATATTTGATTATCATTTCTTACCATGTTGGCCCTTTTGGATCTTAATCTTGCAGATGACGAGCACTCAATATTGGTATAAAATCTCTTAAAGTAAATTAGCATTTCACTTTGTTACCACATTCTCTAATATGATAACTTGTAATTTTGTATGTAAGTCCTATAAACTGATGTCTAAATACAAATACACATTTAGTTGATAAAATGATTTATTCAGTGTCAGTGTAATTATCACTGACTACATTAACTAAAGAGCTCACAAACTGCTCTGTGATGTAAGTATGATGTAAGATGCTTCTGTAGCTGATAGTAAGACGTGTCTGATGTAATGTGCATTTTTTCCACTTGGTCTACAGGACTTAAACCCGCCTCAAGGTAAACGTCCTGGGCTCTTGGTGCTGTCTTCTTATCCTGTTAATGCTCCCCAGGCCTCTCCTGCCTTTTTGCAAATGACTGATGTGACAAAACATAAGATAACATTCTGACAAAAAGACGTAGCTGACTACTGAATCCAAAGTGTGTTTTAATTTATTCATTACCTCCTTGTAGTCGCATCAGTTAGTAGAGTTAAAATATTGTAAAAGAAAAAAAGAAATGCACTAAAAAAGACAGGAAACTTCTGCCTTGTTGAATTTACTTTAGTGTCTTCAGGCGATAGGGACAGCTGCCCTCACAAGCCAACCTGACTGTCCCAACAGACAACCCCAAAGGGGTTAAGTACCCCAGGTAATCTGCTCTGAGTCTGAGGTGTCAAACGTCCTGAATTGATACCTCCTTCAACAAGGCCTGTGATTTGCCCTGAGTAGAATATAATCTGTGGCCACAGAGGACATTCACCCTTTTACAGCAATAAGCCAACAAACCCTCCACAAACCAGTGGGAGAGGCACGGAGCTTAGCCTTTCTAGGGCCAGACCACAATCAGTGATCAGTGAGAGCAATGCAAACACACTGGACAGACAGAAGCTGATTTACATTCTTCTTAAGAATATGACTTAGTGGTGCACCACCAGCTCCATTGACATGCAGAGATGGGAGGAACTCATCACAGTGGGCACTAAAGCAGACTTAGCTTGCAGCTCTGGAACAAACTTGTGGACCAGAACGATCTGCAGTTTGCCGGCCAAGGCCAAAGGCAAGGCTGTCTTCAGCAACAACACTTTTTTTTTGCACTTTCTCAAATGGATTGAGGGTGTCCAGCAACACCAAGGTCGGATCACAGATTGGTACCAGGGGGTTAGAGGATATGATTCTGTCATATACACCTATATGGAGCAGCACATTTGTCATATCCCATAGGAAGAACAACACATGAGATTAGTCATTTGCATGCTGTTAAGACAATTATAAATGTGTGCCACTTTGTGCAGCAAGTGTGAATTTTTTGAATGGTCCCATCATGTCGGTGGGCAGTTGATTTAGCCAGAGGTCTAACCACACAGTGAGAATGTTATATTCATCTCTCTGCTGAATAAAACTCTGTCACTCTGGCTGTGCTGGGGGCATCAGACTAAGAGGGGAGTCATACAGCGTTGTGTCTGCTGGTGGAATCATTTTCCTGCCAGATAGAGGAGCATTGAGTGTTTGAGGAAAAGCTATCCACAGTGGCCTGCACACACAGTATCTGTGCCGAACCTGGGTGACAATCTGGGTTCAAAGGATCCACTCTGATCAGAGGTTCTGCCCCTGTGTTCCCGTGTGCTCCACACTCTAAACCCTTTGCCTGCTCCACAGAGTGGGTGACTCAAGCTACCAGGGTAAGGTTATCTGTTGTTGGGAATCATTATTTTTGGAGTTTATATTTCCCTCTGGGAATGTATATGTATGATTATTGGATCAAAATCTGTGACGGTCAGATTGAAACTCCATTACACGAATGCAAATGACAGCATTACAGCAAAATCGGCCGCTTATTTGTGTTTTATCCTTATTTGTCTCTTCATTTTCTATTATAACAAGCATGTTCCGAGCTGTGCTTGTCACAAGAGGACCTTGCTTACGGTTAATGCACCGTGTTTTCATTGATGAAAATCAAAATCGGCAGATTTACTCTGTTGATACTCCCATTATTCCCAAGACTTGTTAAAGTGCTGCGTCATGGGAGAAACAAAAACAATCGCTCTTTTATGTGAGCAACCGTAAATTAATTAGACAAGCTCTGGAAAATTATAGACGAAGAAGGGACTTTTTGGAAGTGAAGGTATTATGCAGTGAGAATCTGTAGACAAGATAATGAGCCTGATTATGTGCACTCGTTTCTGAGGATTATTATTGGGTTGGAGAAGAAGAAAAAGAGGAGAGAGTTGCAAGGGTTTGAAATGGTACTAAATATCATGTTTGATAACACCAAATCATGTTATTTACAATTGTGGGTTTTTATTTTGCGTTGTTTTACTGCCTGATTTGAACGAATTGCAGGCTCTTGTCTTACGGGACAAGAGGTAATTGTCAAATAATCTGTTTACTCGTTATGGTCAAAACAGACTCA